AAGCTGAGGCTAATTCACTTTCAAAGTTAATCTGCTTTAAATCCTAGCAGGCAGGCCCAGATCTAGGCAGAGGAACCTCTTGAAATCAAACGTTGATTTCAATGATCCTCAGTGCTCAGAAAGCAAGGTTACTTCACAAAGGTTTAACGACAGTCTCAGGGACAAAACAGGTATTCTGACAACCGTTGGGTTCTTGTATGACTCGTACTAGATGGGATATAAAAGACCTTGGTTGGCTCACAGGGTACATACGATGGAAGAGGCGGAAGGGATGTGAATAACATTAAGATAGTCGTGAGAGGTACGGGGAGTTCAGCTGGTCAATCACCAGAACGCTTAATGAAGCCTCTGATGTCTTTCCTAACTCAGCAGCTTGCTTTGTTCTCCCCCCAGGCAGGACTGTGGATGTTTGTGTTACAGGGACTGAGCTTTTCACTCAGTTGCTCGGGACAGCATCTCGCTGGGACTCAAACATTATTTTCTCCTAACAGGATGGCGCAAGTTGGACAGTTTCACTTGCACATTTGTCCATTTTTCAAGCTTCACACTTTATACTGACATAAACAAATGCAGAGAACGTTTGTGTTTTGACTCCCTGGATCCGAATACCTTCATTATTTAAGATGTTTACCAAACTTAAAGTGGACCCCATCATGCTATTTGTAGTCAATATAGGTCTAGATATATTACAAATTATATAAAAAAACATTGTCCATGAAGTGATGTTGCTCAAAATACCAATACGATTCACCCATTCTAGCCATGGCCTCATATCCCTATATTTCCTTCCTGTTTAAAAGTGGCGATTTTGGGTATAAGCTTTAAAAAAAAAATTAGGGGCTGAGCTTCATGTCGGGAGATCTCTACCAGCAGCTACTGTCTAAACTAAATACTGCGGTGATGAAACGCCATATCATGATTTATCAGGATTATTTCTGAAACAGTTATGGTAGCTCAAAGGCTTTCTCTCTTGTCCGGTTATACCACAACGGTGAGTTCCCTTTTATTTCCTGCTTCTTCACACACCATGCTTCTCCAGTACAGGTTAGCTCTGAGTGTTAGCGATGCTAATGTGAACCACGACCATATTACGTCCAAACAGTCGGGCATTGTTTCTGATAGCAACTTTCTGATATGCCGTGGGTCCACATTTCCGATATTACGTCATATCGGACGCAAATCTGGATCAGCTCCGTTGTAGCCCCGTTTTTAGAGATTTGGGTATGGAGGAAAAGAGAGAGGGTTTTATTTTCTGACACTGTGTGAGTTCCCTGACACACCGGGGACATATTGATGTATAAAAGACATCAAAAAGTGCGTTTTGCATGATAGGTCCCCTTTAACAAAAATGGTGGTAAGAATAAATACATCTCAACTAAAGCTTTTATGCTGCTATTAAAACTAATGTAACACAATCAACATCAAGCAAATGGTCCCCCTGCAATTGTTGTACTAAGCCAAGCTAATCAGCTGCTGGATGAGGCTTTATATTTTCTGAAGATACATAAGAGTGGTGCTCATCTTTTCATCTAACTTTTGCCAAGAATGGAAATAGGTGTATTTTTCAAAATGTCAAACATTTCCTTTAAAGCTTGATAGCTTGGCAAACTGTATCTGCTGATGTGGATTGAGTCATTCGATTCAAGATTAAGTGAGTTTTTCAATTACATTGGTACTGTTGAAGGGGTCCTTATATGCTCATCTTCAGCTTCATATTTGTATTTAGTGCTTCGACTGTGACATGTTTACCTGCTTTAATGTTGCTGCAGCACATCTTTTCTGTCTGAAACCAGAGAGAGCCTAGTCTGCTTTGATTGGTTAGCTGGCTGGTTCTGTTGTGATTGGTCAGCCGCTTAAAGATGTCCCGCCCCTTAGCCTATCACGCACAAAAACCCATATTGAAACTACAGAAAAGAGTAAACCTCAAAAAGCATAATAGGGCCTCATTAATTAAGCTACATTTTTTTTGTTATTTAGATTTTAAATATTCTCTAAATGGTATTAGCAGCACACTTGCAGGAAATGTGTGTCTTGTTAAAACGGTCTAAATAAGGCTAACACCAAGCCAAATGTCTGCTAAAGGTGGCTGTATGTGTTCTGCACAGACAGGAGATTGATGCTCATCTCTTCATCTAACTTTTGGCAAGAAGGCGAATAGGCGTATTTTTCAAAATGTCCAAAAACGTTTCCTTTAAACTTCCTGACAGCTTGTCAAACTGGATCTTCTGAGAAGGCTTGCTTCTTATAATTGAAAATGAGTGGTTAAATGAAGATGTGTCCAAAACACTGTTCATTTGAATCAAGTTCAAATTTTTTATTGCGAATTTAAACCAAAATGTGTTGGAAAAGCAATCATCAGCGAACTTTGGCATGAAAGTGAATAAATAACTAATGACTAGGATCTTCCATGCAGGTAATTGTTGAATTTTTGGAATGGATGGTTTTTTCTCAGAATATAGCCTATAATTTATCTTTGATCAGTCCTGTAAGAAGTGCCGGACGGCTCCCTGTGACCAGTGCTCGGCTGCCAGTTTGTAGGCTACTGTATGATAATTTGAACAAATTCATCCTCAGAGAGCGTGCACATTATTCATCAAAGCACAGAAAAGTGATTATTAAATATATCTTTTATCATGCACAGCGTTTCTGTCTAGCTTGGCAAAACATCTAAGATGTATAAACGGCCATCAGCTCTGACTTCACCCGGGGTTTCTTTCACAGTTATTAACAATTAAAATGAGTGACAATTACAACACCGTAAAGTATTTAACGGATGTTTTACACATCAGAGGGCCGAGCTCAGAGAGCACCTATAAGTCCTGAATGACAAAGGGTTGACAGCGGGGACTTGGGCGTTATATGGTCCACATTACAATCATTTATGATCGCAGGAGTCTCGACATACGAGGCAGTGGCAGGAGAGACCTTGACTCTTCTTTTATAGCCCTTTAATTTATAGGCCATTTTGAATGTCCTGAGGTACAGGCTGTGGCTACAACTCTGCAGGAAAGAAGCCTGGCAGAGGCACATTGGCCCTCCCATTGTTAACAATCATTACATAATCAGCCCGATCTGATCTACTGTACTGTGCCCGGGAACAATGCCGTCACACTTGGCCCACAGCGGCAGTGAAAACTGAACCGCGACCTGCCATTAAAATGCAACGCATGGCCAGCACCCGCCTCCTAAAGTGTCAAACATTCCAGATACACAGCAAACAACAGCCGTACTATATCAGAAGCCAACAACCCTACCAACTGAGACATATTTTATAGTACAACTCACTGCCAGCAGCAGACTGACAGGATTAGTGCAGAAACCTAGAGCCGGTTGACCCTCACCCTTTAGTGTTTCTGCTACTTCTATTATCGTCAGACCATCTGCCAAAGAGCACTGAGACAGAGAAAGAGCCGTCTCAATATTTCACCCGGCCTCGGCCTTCAAAGTAGCCACAAAAGCGTTGTTCTGAAATGGGTTATGACAATAACAATTTAACAATCCACTCGAAGTTCAATCAAGACAGGGAGTGGAGGAGGTCATGCTTTAGAAGTCCAGAGCTGTTTGAAAAGTCAGGACTCAGAGGCTCGTACCGTTGAGATTGATCATGGGAGCGAAATGAAAGGAGAAATCGGCTGTGATCCAGGAGCCTGACTTCACTGCACATAGTAGACTTTCTCATACATCGTTACAGCAAGTTAAGCACGTGCTAATAATCTAAATTGCATTATAAGTGTTCTCATCTGTAACTGCAGAGGTTTTCTGTTGGACTGCATTCTACAACCAACAATGCACTCACATGGACAAGAGACATGCATCGTGCCCAATTGAAGAAAAAACTGGATTTCACTTCATCAAACAAACCCTTGCCAGCAGATATAAGGATGTCAGGGGGTAGTGTCGTCTAAATATGGCAGCATGATAACATATCTCAATGTGTGTGGGTCTGCACAATAAAGATTGCACATATTGGAGAAGGGAACAACAAAGACAGACACAGAGACACAGATGGGAGTTGGCAGCGGTTACAGCTTAGCTCGGAGTGGGAAGA